CTTTTTTGTAGTGAGGACGGAAGACTTGTTATTACTCGTCTTGGTTACTCAACCGCGCCTGAAGTTCAGATAATAACATATCAGAATATTCGTTTACGGTGACCCACATTTTTCCGAAATCTGCCTCGTCAGATGAAGGAATATGATGGGCGATGCGTCCAGAATGTTGGTCGGGAAACCTGAAGTGAAGAGATTGTTTGGTAGACCTAGGCGTAGAAGGCAGAATTATATTAAAAATGTTTTCCACAGGAATTAAATGTCGTCTTCGTGGGCACAAAAGTCAATTTGAGACAAACTCAATGGGCGAGGCGTCACTTATGACGATTGCTGTACGCCAGCTGCACTGGAGAAGTAATTGTGTGATCCAAACGGAGGATCCCAGAGTTAAGCCGTCCGGAGTCTGAAGCTGGCCAGACACGTTGGTGTACCTTCGCCTTCGTGGCGTGGAGGAATACGGTTTTCAAAGATTGCTCAGGGCCACGCCATGGAAGGGCAGCTTTGTTCGGATTATGCGATTTGTTCATTTAATCAGCCCAGCGCCTACCCGCATCAGGTGCCGTCGTATCTAGTTCGCGTGCACCAGCGTAATCATCGTCTCTGATCCGTCCCTGACTGTCTTATAATTTGGTACAGCATCGTTAAATATGCAGCAGCCCATGATCCAGGAAAAGACATTCGGTCTGAGGAGGCCGGCGATGGCGTGTCTTGGCAACGGAACACGTCAGAGGGCCTGTCTGTCTGTCATCATGCGCGACGGAAACGCGCGCTGGTATGCACACAGAGAGGTGTACAACTAGCAGATGTCCGTGTCGCGTGGGATGCGGACGGAAAGAACTCCGCTCCAGTTTTGTAAAGCTGCCGTGGCAGAGAGGTCGCTTGGACCCCACATTTTTTCAAGTCCGACCTTGCGATCTGCCCTCGACCTTGCTTGAAGCAGCAGACTGTTTATGGCGGATGTGAATGTGATGATGCTGGCAGACAAGCGGCGTCTGTATTTCCTGCCTTCGAGTCATTTGCCCGTAACGGCCCGACAGTTTTCAGTGTTCATCCCAAATACCAAATTTAATCGAAATCAGTTTGTTGTTGTCGTCGAGGACGCGCGTGAAACAGCGGACAACTCCGACAAGACGGATTCTGTCGCTTGTGTGCTCGTCATACGGAAACCTGGACCTCCGCGTCGGGTGGGCGAACGCAGGTTCGGAATAGTTGCACGTATTAACGGATATTGTATCTGTTTTTCTCGTGTTTTAAAATCTGAAGCCACGTAAGGCGTGTTCGTAGTGGAAGCGAGAAGGATTCGTTGGTGGCTGTGTGTTAATAATATCGTAAAGTAGGGAGTTGCTGTAACAGATCTTGAGGATGGAATTAACTTCGCACTTTATTAATTCCAAGGCCAGGCCCTGTAATAACGACAAAAGTAATTGGTCCAATCAGCTGGCCACACGTGGTCGTTGACTGTATCAAAGCCAATCGTTAAACATCCGAAACCTCGTTTATGTTTTGACTTATCTTGGCCTGATGCAAGACCAAGAGCCTTCATTACGTAAGGTTTTTGCTTACGCCTCAAACACCAAATTTGAGTGCAACGAAGTCTTTGGCAAGGCAAGACGATGGATTCGAATGGACGCTGTTGCCTAGGGAACGCGGGCTTCGTGTCAGAGAACACTCCGGTCCTACTTTCACTACTGCCCTAGATTCTGGCCCCACGATTGGGCTCGTCGTATCGCAAGAAAGCCCAGTGCTACTGCACCGGTGCGTGACGGGAGACAAGGCTGGAAAAGGAAGGCCCTCGAGGGGGCGAGGTGTTGGAACGGAGGACTCGTTTTACGGCTCCATGTGAGCAAAATTTGCGTTCTGTCGCATGCCGCAGCGACCGACCGACGATCCTGATTGAGGGGTTCCGTGCGTTTCCTCAGTCCCTTAAATTAGGCCACCACTGGTTCCTTCCGATTCCTCGACGCCCGTCACTCGATTGGAGCCTCTGGACGCCGGTCCTCGACGCTGCCGCGGGAGCAGCACAGCGCAGTGAGTGAACTCCGCTGCTTGGGGGCGTTGCCCTCCTCTTCGCTCGAAACGAGGAGGCTAGGGGGAGGGGCACTGCAGCGTCAGTGTGAACGCTGACGGGGCTTTTGGTGCCTGAGTCCAGGGATCGTGGCCGTTGCTACACGCAACACGATTCGAACTTCGGACTTGCGTCATTACCGTCCACGTTTTGACAAATATTAAGAAAAGAGTGAGGCTTCGGTTTCCTCACGGGAAACAAAATTTCAGGATGGCACTTAAGCCAGTCTTGCACCGTTTCTGCCCGTGACTGATGATTTCTTCAGATGTTTCATCAATGCTGATTTCCCGGTTGTCTTGGATACGCTGATGGATGTGTCCTTTAACCCCAACACATATTGCAGTCGATGACCGCCCTGAATGGATCATACATGCGGAATAACTACGATTCATTATTTGTTTCGTTCGATTCTCACAATAAACAGCGTTAAACAGTTGATCTTCGTAATGGTGAAGTGTAGTGTTTTCTTCGCGGTACGGGCTCATTTCTTAAATATCACGTAGAGGAGTCTTGTTCTGTAAATGCGTCATCTCGTGTTGCAGACCTGGCGGCCATAAGGAGGCTGCTGGACAGTGAGGCGGCTGCAGGCACTTGCCCCAGCTGTAACATGCCGTTCGACAAGGGCAAGAAGAGGAAGCTGATCGACTCTTGCGGCCACGAGCGCTGCTACTCCTGCATGTTCCGCAACGAGGCCTGTCCGCTGTGCGCCGCCAACGGTGAGATCGGTTAAGTAACTGGAAACATCGCGAGTGCAATCATGACCCTCGATGAGCAGTCGGTGTCTAATTTAGCTGAGGACAGCACCCAATTAACCCATTATACGGAGGTTTAGTTTTCCGTCCGTCCTTCTGGATGTCTCTGCAGAGGTTCCTCCTCGTTTGCACCCGGAGGATGAACGGACCCAACCCAATTCGCTATCATATCGCGGGTGTGTATAGAACGTCTTGTCGATGTAAAGACGAATGTAGACAACACGATCCCAGCACTCGTCAACGTTGAGGACCCTTTATGTTTGGTAAAAGTGAAATAAAAATTGGTTTTTGCACACGAATTGACTTGGTCACTGTCTTTGCCCGAACCTACTCAAACTCAAACTCAAGCAGATTTTTGTTGTACAACCGGGAGGTTCATTGCCGTGCTAACACAACTCTTCGTAGTCTTTGTATGCCCTACTCTATCGCGCCATTGTGTTTCATTTCAGCTGCTAGTCAGTAATAAAGTAACCCCTGCCTTCGTATTCGCCAGTTTCGTTCAGAGCGATATATCTCGTCGATAACACTGGAAGGGCTTTATTTGTTGCAGCTAACCCCACCAAGAAGGTTCTGGGGTGCCCTCCTGGATTGCAGGGGTCCGAACTGACCCTGTACGGCGAGGTCAAGGGTTCAGCGGGTGTGCAGTCAAGGTCGAAGGTTAAGACTAATGGCCACTTTACATCCTACATGCAGGTGAGTGTGATCTTCCTTCTCTCTGCATCCACCGCCCCTGTTACCGTCGCCTCTGGGGCTGTTATATTTTCCCCGTTAATGCAGTTCTGCGTATTTTATCACCGATGACATCCACGTTCAAAATATTTGTGGTCGTCTGTTTTATGTTCAAATATTAATGTCTCGTTCATTTGTGAAATTGAAAAATGTGCCTGGCTGTTGCAGGCGAGACAGGAGTGGCCGTCGCCCAGCGGACTGCCGAGGACCCGGCCCCCGCTCCGCAGTCCTGCCACCATGACACAGAGTGAGTGAAGGATTTGACAAAGGATTAAGGAATCTGGTCCCGTGATCTTCACTTTGGAGATGAAACTGTTTACTGGAGGATAATACGAAAACAGGGTGTGGTGAGCGCTGAATTGAAGTGCTGTAGGCCCTTCTGAAGGACAAGACACCTTTGTGAGAACTGCCCTTCATTTTATTTTGGCTAATCTCAAAGTAACTGAGCAGATTTCCATTAAATTTGGTACCACGTGTAGTTCTACACCGTATAAATTTTGTTCTGTTTTGCGTCAGGCCGTGGCTGTCTTGGTTGTCAGCTCAACATAACCCGCACTGTGTTGAAATTCATCTCACAAAATAAAGAAGCTGTTTGTACAAAAGTTGGCGTAAGACTTAGAACTCCTCGCAACTGAGGACGTGCCCGTGCATGTGACATCGTGAGCTGTTGACAGCGCGTTGGATGCAAAATAAGGTTGGCAATGCCGCGATTAAGTCCCTTGGTCCTCTGTTTGCAGGTTGCCCAACACCACCGCAGAGCCGACGGAGATTCTTCCTCGGTCCCAAGTCTTTGAGGAGCCCTTGGAATCAGCGCGGAGGCAGCGGACCAAGAGTCCCGGCTGACGGCGTGGACAACCCTTCTGCACTCTCTGGTGAGTTTGGATGATTGCCGTCATTGCCTTTAAAAGCAGGAAGAAGAACTCATGTCATTTGTGTATTAAATAAATAGTTTGTGAACATTTTGTTTAGAAGTGGATTTCTCATTGTATTAAAAGTGCTAATAATTTTACTTTTAGCCTCCAGGGATGAACGTAATTACATCATGTTCCTTTAGTGGCCTAATAAAACTGCTTTGAATTGTAATCAGGGATCTGAGGAAGTTCGTAACTTCAAAAATGCCCATTTAAGTCCGTAATGATTGAAAGTGAAGTTGTCCTGAATGTTTGGCGAAAGCTAAGAGTTCCGATTTAATTAACACCAAATTAAAAAGCTGCCAAAGCACATTTGAATGCAGCAATAGCACACAAAACAAACTCCAGGCCACGACTTACGTAAAATCCAGTTTGTGCAAAATGTCTGCCAATCTAGATTCGACGTATAGAATTGCGGTGCAACCTAAAAATTGTTTGCCATTCCAGTGACCAAGCGTACAGCCGTAACAAAAATTTATAGGCATCTGCGTAAAACTCGGACCGACGGCAGCTGTAGTTTCTTGTGTTTGCTGCAGTAATTTTTCTCGTGCCCCCACGTTTTTTAGAATTCTAACACAGTTCAAAATTTCATGTGAGAAGTTTTAAGGTTCTTCGTCTCGCGTTCCTCGGTGGCAGGAATTAAAAATTAGACTTCGCGTGACGCAACATTTGTTGGAGCTCGATGAAAATTGTTCTGTTGTTTGTGGACAGTTTCAAGCGAAGGAGTAGGTTTCGATTGTGACAAATGTGCCTTCAGATTTTATCAATCTGTGCATAATGTTTTATAATTGTTTTGGGTTCTCTGTCTGTTAGCATCTGTATACGAATTTGTTTGTCTGTAAACTGAACTCTGATGTGTTTGTGTTTCCGTTTCCAATAACCGCCTCCCCTGTAGCTTCCATGACGTCTTCGACAGAGAGCCGATACTGGGCCAGCTACGTCCTCAACAAGATCAAGTCTCTGTGGTTTGTGGGCGGAAGTAATGTGGGGTTGAACCAGCTGGCGGCATCTGCAACAGGCATGCCTCTGCCTGTCATTTGTTTTGTTTGTTTGTTTCTTTGTTTTGTGGTGTGTTTGTTGTGTGAGCCATCTTCAGCGATGCTGTGTGGAGATGTAGAGAAAGTCACTTCTCCGTCTCATGCAGATGATTTTTATGCGAGATGTTGCGTTTTGGCTCAGTGCCTGTGCACCAATTGCTGTAGTAATGCATGTAATAACCTCTTTGCACTTTGAGTGCTCTGACTCTTTTAGTCTGATGTTCTGTCGATGTGAGTAAAAGAAGTTTCAGGTTTCCAACCCATAAATTTTTTTTTAAAATGTGATCAGTAATTGAAAATAATCGAGTACTAATAAACCATAATGCAGCGCTGTTTCTGTTGACCGGTGCGTAGCGGCTTTTTGTTTTATTTAAAAATGTGTTTGAACTGGAAATCAAGCGGAATTTCTGCCTTTAATGAAATTAATAAACCTTTTATTTATTTCGGGGGTGGGGGTGGACTTTAAACTTTGTGGATATTTTATTTTGGCCTACAGCATTTCATTGTATCTGCCTGTGTTATGTGAGGCTCAAAACTGAAGATTCTGAAATGTCACAGATATAGAAAATATGAACACACGATATAAAATACAAATCTCACCGAACCTCGCAACTTTTACTTGATCGTAGCTGTTCGTTGCTTTTGGTTAGATTTGGCTGCTGTCCGTTTGTATCTGAAAATCACTTTGCGAACTGCGTGCAGGAGTACAGCTTTCCACGTCTATTCAATTAAGATTTGTTCTTTTATTTTTGTTTTAATGCATGCCGCACAGTCGTTGATTTGCATTGTTTTTGTTGCATGCCTTGTGGTTTGCTTAGTCGATCGTGCAGAATTATTGGTAGAACGTGTTCTTATGTCTGAACCAGAATGAACGACAAAACAATAAAAGATTGCACACTGTGGAAACACCTTCTTCATGAAATACAAAATAGAATTATTATTAAAATTATGCAAATAACATAAATCAAAAGTAGGATAAACATTTTGTTTGAAGTAAAGTTTTTTGGATTTTCTTTAGTCAAATGCGTAGAAACTGTCACTGCCTCTGTGTTCTGGGGCCCTTCTGTTTGTTACGAAAAGAAAGCATTTTGCACTATGTGGCATGTTAAGAAACATTTTTCCCTCGTTCTGTCAGAACTGTAGAGCGAAGAATTTTTTCATCTTAATTTACTTTAATAAATTATGTGGATGAGCGTATGATATACAGAGACTGACAATATTCAGAAACCCTCTGAGGGGGTAGGGATGTGTTCCTTTCCTCACGTACATTTTAGGACAGCTAATGAAGTTGTAACTGACATTTCAGATGATGAAGGTGGCACAATAAAGCCGGTGTCTCACGGAAAGCAGTCCTCGCAGAATGATCTGTATATGCGCTTGGGTCTCCTGCTGGGGGACGGTGCCCGCCATTCTGCGAGAGCGGCTCGGTCCCCGCCGCGTCGACCCGGGTCTGCGGCCAATCGCAGCTCTCACAGCCATGAGTCGTGCGCTTCATTTTCCTCGTTGGCTAGTCTGGAGGCTCATACGCTTGCTTCCACAAATACTAGCCCTGTGTCCACACTTACAGGTATGGCCATCTGCTAAGGTGCTGAAGATGCATTCTTGAAAATGATAATCTTCTGGGTCCATCACCGGAACCGTCGCATAACTACTCACTTATTTTGACAAAGGACCCCTTGAGTTTTATGTAACACAGACTGTCAGTTAAAGTCGTACGATGCATAAATCATCTGAGGTTGTTGCCTTCTGTTGAGCAAATCTGTTAAAACATTTTACAGAAAATAATAAGGAAAGGCATAACTAAAATGACTGCAGATTCATCTCACGTCCCTGAGCTGTGGTGGTTGTTTCGAGGACGATGCTGTGAAGCGGGCGCGCCCGCTTTGTTCCTCGTATTCTCTCGGGCGATACTAATCAATCCATACGGGTGATAACGTTGTTGAAACATAACTCAATATCCAATGATAACCACAAACATGGCTGTCTTCTGCCATGTCATCTGGTAGATAGGAGGAGTTGTTGCCCCCGTCATCTGGGATGTCACAGCTTCCCAGAAGACGGCCATCCTCTTACTTGTCTCATCTGTAACTAATATACGTGGAGCATTTTCGTCTAAGAAGGTGTCCTGATTGTGTGTGTTGACTGACTGCTTCAGGTTCTTCAGAGGTAGATGTTCACGGTCATACCCGGACGCTGAAGGACCCGTCATCGGACAGCATCACGTCTCTCATGTCCGTGTCTGGCCAGAGTAACTGTTCGTCTAGTCCTGTTAGCAGGAGACACTCTGTCACTAGTAAGTCAGACACTTTCCTTTCACATCCGAGCAGGGAGGGAGAGTCAGAAAAGTTTTAAGAAATTAACAGTTTCCTAAAGGTACCGTCCGTACCTGAATGTGGTGGCATGCCCCAATTCTGAAAGGCTAAACTGACTGACTGCTCAGCACAGGACTCGGGAGCTTTGAACTTCTTTAAATTCACCGACGTTTTCTTTACAGCGTCTCAGCCTGGACAGGTAGAGGAACTGAACGTCTTCAAGAACCGGAGAACCTCAATACGCAGGTCTGCTCGCACTGGCTCAGTTAAGGGGCCGATTGATCCGAAAGGTAAATATTTGGCTTTCTCAAATCTGCATGTCCTTTGATGGTTTCTGAAGTGGTTGTGATGATTGATAAAGTTTCTTGGCGTATTAAAGAAGAAACTTATGTTACAGTAGAAAGCTTAAAATCTTTGTTATAA